CCCCCCCCCCCCAGCACAACAAGCAATCGCAAACAGGATACAGAGTCTCACCACTGAAGTTGATTTAAATGGAACTATTGATAAAGTGAATGGAGAGCTGGAAGGAACCAGGTGTATATCCTAGCCCATGCAAGGGACATTGACTGTGGAGGTGGGGGACATGGGGAAGGGCACCCAGCCCTGGGGAGATTGTCTTTATTTAAGGTCAGGCCAGCATCCCTTTGCAACCTACCTGCCACACTGACCTGATAACCCTAAACCGCAACCTTTAGGCTGGCCCCCGCTAGCTCAGCCCCCACCAGGGAGAGTCTAGAGCCCCCTGAGGAAGGCGCAGCTGCTGGACAGCAGGCGCAGGAATTGCAGGACAAGGAAGCAAGAGGTGTGAGAAGAAACGCAGTCGAAAGCAGCAGCGGCAATGACAGGGCCACGTTTCTTAACAGCTACCAAATCTTTAAACCACATTTCCTTCTGCTTCCTCACAAACCTGCACTTCTGAGAGCAGCCAGGACTCAGAACACCGAGGAGTCACAGGGTGGAAAGTTCTAGGCCCAGATGGTTCCTTGCAAAGAAAGCTTTGTCTGCAAATGAAGCCTCCAGCCGTGGAGGAGAAGCCCCAGACTCTTACCGCCCAGCCCCCCAGGATTGCCTTGAACTACACCCAAACCCGAAGTGTTAGAACTGGGCCTGAGGCTGCTGACTTTGTTTAAACAGCTCGTTTTTGCAAAGGTGCTTCCCTTCCCCCAGAGCAGCCCTTGGGGCCTGCACAAGGTGAGGGCTGATAGGGCTCTGGCCAAGACTGGGAAGGGTGTCCTCTGACTTGGCGCCCTTCCTGTCAGGCAGCTCAGGTCCCTCCTGTGGCTGTACGCCCCTCGGTAGGGGAGGCCTGGTATCCCTTCTGAGGGAGAGCTTGGCAAGATACCCCAGGCTGAGGGGTGGGCTGCCTAGAGGCTGCTGGGGCTGCAGGCCTCTCCCCAGCTGGCACTGGTTTCACTTTTCACATGATGCAAGGAGTTGAAAGACCCGCATGAGTGCTGCTGTGGGGCTTCTCCAGGCTGTGACCAGAGAGGACCATCTTCATGCTGCCAACCAGGCCAGACATAGGACACAGCACAGGGACACGCTGCTCCCAGGAGAAACTGGCTCTGCCTCAACAAAGGGAAAAGCAGGGGAGGCTAGGGAGGGGGCTGGCACCACAGCTTCTGCCCTAGTCCTGTTTCAGGCCTTCTTCTCTGCCAAGGGTTTCTCCTCAGATGTCAGAATCTGGTCTCTGTGGGGTCCCAGATGCTGATGAAAACCTTTCAAAAATGATGCCCCAGAAGTATAAAGCCACATTGGCCTCCTGGAGCTGAGTCCCAGCGTGGGGGGTGAGAGACATCTAGGACCCCCATGGATGTGGGTTAGAAACCTCTTTACAAAAGCATTTCAAGCTACATATGTCTTTTTTTTTTTTTTTTTTTTTCTTTTCACTATTATAGTCACTGCTGAATCCAAGCATAAACAGACAAATCCAACTACAACGCAACAGGGTGCAGATGGGGAGGGAAAGGCAACATCTATGTATATGTTCAGCTGCTCCAGCAGGACAGACAGCATTGCTTCCAGCAGGGACTGGGGGCAAGAACCATATCTGATGGGGGGAAAGGGGTGCCTTCCCCTTTTTGGGGTGTAGAGGGTTGATTATATGGGGTTGAGCAGTGGCTTGGCCCTCTGGAAAGCTGGCTGGCAGGAGGCTCAAAGACACAGGCTGGCGCGGAAGTTGGGACCAAAGGAGTGTGGTCTGGCCCTGGGGGTCTTGCCTGCCCATCCTGATTCCATCTCTGGCAACCAGGACACCCAACTTCCCACTGCCAGCTCAACAGAGGGGGACGTTCTCTCCCAAGTCAGCAAGGCAGAAATGTCCAGGTCATTGCTGAGCCCTCTTCTGGTTCACACCACTGGGGGTGCTCTATTTTCTGTCATGGGAGGTGCAGGCAGGGCTCGGAATAAGGTCAGCAGATTCCGTGTGGGAGACACTAGTTGAATGAGAGGAACTCAGAGAGACTGAGGTCCAACCCTTGTGCCTAGAGACTTTCCTTGGTGTCACCGCTTAGTTCAGAATAGGTGCCTCCTACACCTACCCAGCCTTCATTACTGAGAAGGGGTCGGTGAGGCTGGGAACTTGGGAACGGGTGACATAATGAGGGGTACAGGCAGTGACTGGGCTCTGCGTAGCAGACAACATGGGCACAGTGGGGCAGACAGGTGGCTGCAGTGGCCATAGGAGGGACAGGAGGCTCAGGATCCCACCTCCCAGGCCCCCGCACACTCCAGAGATGCCGGAGCTCCAGGCGTGGGAACAGCCGGATGTCCCCCAAGAGGCACAAGTCCTTACAAAGAGAACTGGTTAGCCCTAAAGTCCCAGGTCTGTGAGGTGGCCAAAATCGTGGCTGTAGTTCCAACCTTCTTCGGAACTCAAACGGGGGCTCCGCGGGGCAGAGGGAAGCCCCTCTGCTCAGGAACCCCACCCTGCAGGGAGGGAGGAAGAGGCCAGCCGCTCACAGGACATCAAGGTCAGCCACCCTCTTATCAACCTCCCTTCTCCTCCTGCCACTGTTGCTCCACAGTATGGGAGGGCCTGGAACCCTTCTCCCACAGGCCACCCACAGAAGAGGGCACACCGCCTGCAGCAGAGCCGGCCCAGCTAGGATGGCCTCTGAGGCCTGGGCGAGGGCTGTTTGCCCTTCCTGTTGGCGGTCGGTGTCGCTCCACACCGACTCTCTCCTCTGTCTCACATGTCCCTCTTCCACACTCTCCCCTCTGACCCCCTCTCTCCCCCTGCCCACCCCCCTGCCTCAGCCTCTCCCTGCCTGTCTCCCCCACCCCCTACCCCATCCTGCTCACACAAGATTGACATTATCTGCCCGCGGCTCCACAAAGGCACCAAGTTTCCAATCCTTTGTTGCTGCGCTGCCTCTGAGAAGCCCCCAGGATGGGGCCAGAGGAGGCCGGCGCCCCCAGTCCCTTGAAATTCCCCAGCAGCAGTGCTCAGAGCCTCTCCCCCTTCTACTCAGACAGAGGGGGACAAAAAAGAAAAGCAAGTGTCCAAGGAAATGTTGGGTGTGGCTATCTTTTTCGATGTTTTTTGTTTTGTTTTTTAAATGTTTTATTGTTATTAACCCACCCGTCAATTTGGAAAGATGAAATTTGCTTTTATCCCCCATCACTGGTTTTGAAGTCCCGAGCCAAAGCCCAGCAACAAAAGCAGGTCAAGTGAGTAACCGATCAACTGATCTGTGAGGAGCAGCTGGGGGAGGGCAGAGGGTGAAGGGCCAAATCATTATTCTTTTTTTTTCCCACACACTCTCACTCTCTCTTCTCTCCACCACGATTACGGACTACCCCAGGGGCCTGATCACAAACCCTGCTTGGCCAGGGAAGCAGACACTTCCTCCGCTAGCGTGGAGAGCTCGGGCGAGTCTACCATGTTGATGCTGCCAGTGGAGGAGACGTTGCTGAGGTGCCGTGGAGATGTGTCCCCAGACACCACGGGCGACTTGTACACGATTTCTGCCCCGTGGTCTGTCTTGGCTTTGGCGTTCTCGCGGAAAGTCAGCTTGTGGGTTTCAATCTGCAGAAGAGGAGGAGAGGGAGGGTGAAATGGCGGGCCAGGGGCAAGGGGCGGCCCTGCCAACTGCCCTCTGAGGCCTGGCCTATGGTGGGGGCTGCTGTTGTTTTTATTGTTTTTCAGTAGTTACTACTTAACACAAGGAGCCCTGGTGGCACAATGGTTAAGCGCTTGGCTGCTAACCGAAAGGTTGGCAGTCCAAACCCACCCTGTGGCTGTGCAGGAGGAAGACCTGGCGATCTGCTTCCGTAAAGATGACAGCTTAGAAAACCCTATGGGACTGTTCTACTCTGTCACATGGGGTAGCTATGAGTTGGAATCGACTCATCAGTACCTAACAACAACCACTTATGTACAACCCTTTCACCGCCTCCCAGCCACCCAGCTCCCTTCCCCACAGGCAGTGACCATTCTAAGTTTCTTGTGTACCTTTCAGATATATTCCACACATATACAAACGTGTGTATAAATACCTATGATAACATACATATACTCTACACCTTTGGTTTTTAAACTGAATACTTTCCATTATCGGTTCATAAAGAGCATCCTCTTCCTTGTTGATGGCTGCATAGTATACCATTGTATGAACCCAAAAACCAAACCCGTTGCTGTTGAGTTGGTTCCGACTCACCATTGTATGAGGTGTACCAAAATTTACCTACTCCCCTATTGATGGATGTTTAGGTTGGTTCCAGTCTTTGCTATTACAAACACCACTGCAATGAATAATCTTGTACACACATCATGTCACACGTGTAAGGTGTACCCTAGAAGTGGAACTGATAGGTCAAAAGGTGTACACATTTTGTTTTGATAAACACTGCCAAGTTGCAACTCAAAGTGTTGAAGGAGAAGCTAGAGAGATTAAGGGATGTCCCCAGGGCCACTGCTTCCCAGCCATGAGCCACACACATTCCTCCCCTTTGCCAGTGACTGAGGAGGAATGTGGAGATGGCAGCAACTGAGGGCAGCATTGGTACCTGTGCTAGAAAACATGATGATGTGAAAGCCCTTTTTAAAACAGAGAAACAATGCCATAGCTAGGAGGTCCAGAGGTCTTAGCTCCAAAGAATATCCAGGAAACTCAGAAGCAGGAAGCATTAGCTGGAGATGTGATAGCACATATTGATTCTCTCCTGAAGTGGCTGACACAGTCTCTCTCCGATGAAAACAAGCTCAGCAGTTTTCAACCTGTTTTGGGTCCTAGACCTCTCTGAGCATCTTGTGAAACCAGAAAAATGTGTATACACGGGCATGGGCATGTTTATAATTTTCCACACTACTTAAGAAATCCATGGACCCTAGATGCAGAGCCCCCCTATTGCAGAGAGTTTGAATGGGGGTGTAGAGAGAAACCAGGCTATACGCATATTTTGTTCATTTTTTGGGTCGCTGCTTTGAAAAAAGGACCCTTTCATACTGTTGTATTTGAGTAGCCATTTTTTAATTGTGGTAAACATGTATGTAACAAAACATTGGCCATTTCAGAAATCTTCATACGTGCAATTCAGTAACATTAACTATGTTCATCATGTTCAACCATCACCCTTATCAGAAACTCACCCTAAGCACTGAATCCTCCTTTCCTCCCTGCCACCTGTCCACCTCTGGTAACCACTACGACCTCTATGTTGTTGTTGGGTGCCGATGAGTCAATTCCAACTCATAGCAACCCCATGTGACAGAGTAGAACTGCTTCATAGGGTTTTCTTGGTTGTAATTTTTATGGAAGCAGATTGCCAGGTCTTTCTCCCACAGAGCTGCTGGGTAGGTTCGAACTTCCACCCTTCGGGTTAGCAGCTGAGCGCTTTACCATTGCTCCACTGGTGCTCCTTTGGTCTCTATACGCTTGCCTATTCTAGATATTGCATATAAATGGGATCATACAATATCCGTCCTTTTGTGGCTGACTTATTTCACTCAGCATGAGTGGCCATTTTGACATAAGCTTTGATAAGAACTTTTAGGCTCATGTTTTTAAAAAAGCTTTGTTTCTTAAGGAAAAAATGACAGATTTCTGGGAATGTCCAAAAATCCCCCAAACTAAAGGTGGCATGGGTCCTACCACTTCTTAGTGATTCTGCTCAACACAAGGAAATGAGGGGCTGAAAAAGAGGGGACCCTCTGGGAACAGTGGCTTCGAGCCATCACAGAGATGAGTTAGAGAAGCCCCTGAGGGAGGCCGCTGAGTGACCACCTAAAGTGGGGGACACAGAGCAGAAGGAGCTGAGAAGTTCAGGTTTGGACTTGGATCTAACTAGTGTTCTTCTATGACTACACCACACCAAGTACCTTCCAGAACAGACTCTTGTTTGAGTCTCAGAACAACTCTGGGATGTAGTATTTCCATCCCATTTTGCTGAAGGAGAAACTGAGGCTCAAAGCACTTGCAGCTCTTTTCCAGGTCACATCTCGGAGCAGAGTCAAGCCCAGAACTTCCCCCAGGGCATAAGAACTTCCAGAGACAGATGCAAAATCCTCCCTTCACCCATTACCGATGCCCAGCCCCACCCAGACCCACTAAGTCAGACTCTCTAGGGGTGGGGAATCCCTGGGTGGTATAAGCAGTTAACATGCTTGGCTGCTAACTGAAAGGTTGGAGGTTCAAGTCCACCCAGAAGAAAGGCCTAGCGATCTGAAAAATCAGCCATTGAAAACCCTATGGAACACGCAGTTCTATCTGACACACATGGGGTTACCATGAGTCAGAATCCACTTGACAGCAACTTTTTTTTTTTTCATGACACCCCTCTGGAGGTGGGGACCAGGCATCTGTATCTTTGAAGCTCCCTAGGGCTGGGAGACCCTGCCTGAAACCCGGGTGGGAGCCCCTGCCTGAAACCCGGGTGGGAGCAGGTAAAGGAAACAAGCATAGCTTTTGCAGATAAGATTCCCCACTTCCCCAGGAATTGGGCCCAAGCCCACTTCCCTCAAGGCATGCAGCCTCCTGGCCCATCTTGTGTTTTCTTACTTTCAATAGAGTCCCAGGCCAGAAAATATTTCTGGACCTGGGAAGCCATGTATGCCACAGCATGATGGTAGATGGCCACTTTAGGTCCACCTTGGGGTCAGGGAGGCCAGAGGGGGAGCTGCAGGGAGCCAGAGGGCCAGGGCCATCCAAGGGGCAGCAGCCCTCCCCCAACCTTGGGGCCCCTGCCTGTGGATCAGGTTCTCAGTCTGCAGCCTCTGCTTTAAGATGATTCCAGCAAATGCTGCTCCATAAAACCACACTGCCAGCTTTCACCACAGCACAAGAAGGGGTGCCTCTCTGTGTTTAGAATGGTGCCTGGGCTGCAGAGAAGGATGAGGAGGGGACGGCGGGGACATGCTGAGAGCAGGGGGACTCCTATCTGCCACCCAGCATGGTGCGGCGACAGACGGCCCGGCCACCCTGGCCCTTCCAACCACCAGGGCCACCCTGGACAGCGTACTTTCTCAGGCTGGGTTGGTCTCAGACGGTACATCTCTTCTGGGACATCCCTTCCCCCCGCCACTCCCCAGTCAGCTGCCGGGAGGCACTAAAGGCTGGAAGGCGAGCCAGGGCCAGAACTGCAGGGCCGGGTGGGTGGGAAGCCCCAGGCAGGGTGCTTCACTGTATTTGTGCAGAAGAGCAAATGCGCAACCACAAGACCACATCCTGCCACCAGCCCAGAGGGAGCTGCTCAGGGGTGCACCCGCCAGGCCTCCCGCCCAGGCTCATGCAGACCACTGCTGTTTTAGGTGCGTGAAGCTGATTCCAACACTTGGTAACCCTGCATGTGACAGAGTAGCACTCCCCATAGCGTTTTCTCGGCTGTGATCTTTACGGAAGCAGATCACCAGGTCTTTCTCCTGTGGAGCCGCTGGGTGGGTTCAAACCGCCAACCTTTTGCTTGGTGCACCGCTACCAACAGCAGAACCTGGAGACTCTAGAAACTGCCGGAATGCTGAGATCTGACCAGTCCCAAGCCTCCTCGCGGACACTTCTAGGACAGACCATCCAAAGCTTCGATGAAACAGCCATCGTCAGCATCACTGTTTTGCTCTCGTGACCCATTTAGAAAATTCGGTGATGTCCCACGACTTCCTCTCATGCACCAGGCTCGCTTTGGGGATGGCTACTTCTTTATGTGGGTGCTTGCAAGCCACAGGGCCTAGCATAGTGGTTCTCATTTTTGGCTGCACTAAAGAATCGTCTGGGACTTTAAAAAAATCCAGGTGCCCAGACGGTATCCGAAACCAATTAACTCTGACTCTTCTGGGGTGGGGGGGCCCCGGCAGCAAAGACGTTGACGCTCCCCAGGTGACTGCAGCGGGCAGCTAAGGCTGAGACCTACTGCCCTGGACAGGGCTGATCATATCGAGTCAGTCAGTACAGGGGTCCTCCTTCTTCCCCGTTTGGAAAACTAGACTAGCCTTTGTCCATCTTACTTGATTAAAACCTGTTATGGGTTGAATTGTATCCCCCTGCCAAAATATGAGTTGAAATCCTAACTTCTATATCTAAAGGATCCCTGGTGGTGCAGTGGTTAAGCGCTTGGCTGCTAACCAAAAGGTTGGCAGTTCAAACCCACCAGCCGCTCTGGGGGAGAAAGATGTGGCAGTCGGCTTCCATAAGGATTACAGCCTTGGAAACCCTAGGGGGCAGTTCTACTCTGTCCTGTAGAGTTGATGTCAGTCGGAATCGATTCGATGGCAACAGGTTTGGTTTTATAGCTGTGGATGTCATCCTGTTCGGGAAGAAGGTCTTTTTGTTGTTGTTAATGAGGCCCTATCAGTATAGGGCGTGTCCTAAACCAGGGGCGGATTAACCAGTAAACACGGTCTGCACCGCTTTGCATTGAGCAAGGTACGCTCAGGTTTAACTGTATTTACTTGCTACTCTGGTGAGCAATGTCACATGGGTTCCCCCACGTCTTCGACATGGTGGGGGACAGGTGAAATTGTGCATTGCAGATTGGTAGGAAGGCATAATTGGGCTTGTGTGTACCTTGTTTATTGGGTGATCCGGCCCTGCCAAAACCTAATCACTTCTGAGTTACAAAAAGAGGAGATTAGACACAGAAGAAAATATAAATGGGGAAAGATAGATGCCGCGTAAAGATCGCCAAGGAACCACGGAACGCTGGGGCTACAGAAGCTGAGACAAGGATCTTCTCCCAGAGCTGACAGAGAGAGCCTTCTCCTATAGCCGGTGCCCTGAATCTGGATTTCTAGCCTCCTAAACTGTGAGAAAAAAATACATTTATGTTCTTTACAGCCACTCATGTGTAGTATTTCTGTCAATAGCAGCGCTAGGAAGCCAAGGCAACACCAGGCCCAAACGTAGCCCCCTCCCTGCCCTGCCCTCTTTACCTTTTTATTCCCTCCGCCAGGGACATGGGTGATATTATCCAGGGAACCGATCTTGGACTGGACTCTATCCTTGAAGTCCAGCTTCTCAGATTTTACTTCCACCTGGCCACCTCCTAGAAAACAATACAATACCATCCTGCCATCTTTTTCTGTGGTTCAGTGGACCTTTGCGCGCACTAAATAAGATCTTCACAGCAAAGTGCCCATGGGCTGCTGGGGGCCCAGCAAAAAACAGGTCAGTGGAGGGCTCAGACCAAGACACAGCTCTCAGGCTGGCACTTTGACTTGAACAGGGCTAAGCAAACGTTTCCAAGTGGAGACCAACCTTTAGGAGGAGAGTCATCTACTGTGTAGAAATTAGCACTGTCTATAAATCTTTCTGCAATGATAGAAATGTTCTAAATCTACACTATCCGATAGGGTAGAAATTAGAATGTGGTTTGTATACAAGTAAATCCTCCCAAAGGGTTCAAAAACATTTTGCTTCACCTCTCTAATCAAGTGTGCATCAAATATTTACTTGGCCAACTCATCCTTCTTAGATAATGCAAAGGTAAATCACAGTCAGTCTAGGATAAATTATCCTAACTCTGAATTGGTTACGCCCCAATAAGTGAAGTCTTTCTATGTCAACACTCTGTCAACCACAGCCCCACAAGACCTCGGAATAAAACTGAATGACAAAATGCACACTGAAGAAGGAAAGGCTGTGATCCCTTCGCCCTTCTTGGGCACTCGGTGCCACGCCCAAGCGTGGGAGACGTGGCATGAGGAAGAGAAAATTTAGATTACTTTCTGAAAAGGATTAAAGCCACTGAACAAAGCTGCTCTCTGAAGAAAGAACGTGGTAGGATGGGCACCAGTTGTGAGGTAGTTTCCACTGGGAGACCAAACTCTCACAAAATGTCCAAGGGAGACAGAAAATGATTAGACACATTCTGGACTATGCTTCTGATGACCTTGTCTTCCAACAGAAGTGGCTCAAGACCTCTGCCTTGAACAGGGCCCGACTAAGGCTGGAGTCCCTGCTTGAGACTCCCAGAAGGGAGTTAGCATCTATACCTGTGCTTCCAATATGGTAGCCAGTAGCCACACGTGGCTATTTAAATTTTTATCAAATCAAATTAGTTCAGTTCCTGAGTTGCACCAGCCACACTTCAAGTGCTGAATAGCCACACGCGGTTGTTGTTGTTAGTTGCCATCAAGTGGATTCTAACTCACGCCAACCCCATGTACGCAGAGTAGAACTGCTTCATAGGGTTTTCAAGGCTATGGCCTTTCGGAAGCAGACTCCCAGGCCTGTCTTCTGAGGCGCCTCTGGATGAGTTCAAACCACCAACCTTTTGGTTAGTAATCAAGCACTTAACTATTTGCGCCACCCAGGGTCAGTGACTACCACATCAGATACTGTAGATAGAGAACATTTCCATCATTGCAGAAAGATTAATAGACAGTGCTAATTTCTACACAGTAAAAGACCTCATTAAAGTGCTAAACAGCAAAGATGTCACTTTAAGGACTAAGATGCACCTGATCCAAGCCATAGTATTTTCAATCGCCTCATATGCATGTGAAAGCTGGACAATGAATAAAGAAGACTGAAGAAGAATCGATGCCTTTGAATTATGGTGTCGGCGAAGAATACTGAATATACCATGGACTGCCAGAAGAACGAACAAGTCTGTCTTGGAAGAAGTACAGCCAGAGTGCTCCTTGGAAGCGAGGATGGCGAGACTTCATTTCACATATTTTGGACATGTTATCAGGAGGGACCAGTCCCTGGAGAAGGACATCATGCTTGGTAAGGTAGAGGGTCATCGATAAAAGGAAGACCCTCAATGAGATGGACTGACACACTGGCTGTAACAATGGGCTCAAACATAGCAACGATTGTGAGGATGCTGCAGGACCGGGCAGTGTTTCATGCTGTTGTACGTAAGGTCACTGTGAGTCAGAACCTAACAACAACATGGGATGGGAGGGGTAAGCACGGGGTGGGGGAGCTCAAATAGCATCATTTTCTGTTTGAACAAAGTCACAGTAGGGGCATGGCTACGGCCCGGGGGACCATGTTGTAGCTGGTACATTTCGTGAAATACCTCCCATGCTAACTGAGGACCAAGTACACATCCTGCTTGGAGAGTCACAGGTCAGGCTGAAGACCAGCAACTCCCTTCCTTCCTCACCTTGTCTCGGCCATCATGGCCCTGCTCAGGAGCGAATTCCACCCTCAACACTCCCTTTGATGGCCATCAGACAAATCCTTCCCAGCCACTTCAGGAGAAGGCATTGAAGAAAGCTCCACCACATAATCCTGTCCCACCCTCAGCACCCTTCTGCCTGCCCTCCCCTTCCAAAAGGGCTACCTGGTTTATGATGGATGTTGCCTAATGAGCCACACTTGGAGGTCACCTTGCTCAGGTCAACTGGTTTGTAGACTATTTGCACCTGGAGGTGAGAGAGAATAAGAAAGAGAGACAGACAGAGAGATGAAGAGAATAAAGTAGAATTATTTTATGGGTGTAACTCAATGAAAAGCAGCCGTATAAGCCCGGGCTGTGCTCAGACGGTGGCTTCCGTCTTCCACAAGGAAGTACAACCTAGTCATGGTGGAAAGTGTGCTTTTGGAATTCTGCTAACTCTGCCCCAAGGGAGCAGGGTCGCCACAAAATAACTGTGGGATTAAAGTGTCTTCAATCCCCAAAGGACAAAAGACCTCAGCCAAAAGGAGGGACATCTTGTCATCATGCAGGTTCCACGCCATGTTTAGCAAACACCACTCAAAGGCCAAAAAGAATCACACCACCTCCTGATGTGAAAGTGACAGGTCACATTCACTGGCGATAAAGGATCGGTCTGCATGCGCAGCATCTATTTGAACAAGTCTCGTTAGAAAGGCAAGATGGCTGTATCTGCTTGGCTTCCGAGAGGAGAGAGTGGTGTTAGGACTGACAGGCAGGCTTTAACCCAGGAGAAGCTCTGGCAAAAACCAAACCCTAGCCCCCACAACGAGGGCAATTTGGGTCAGCAAGCGGGACCAGCCCAGCTCAGCCGCTCAGGGAACTCAGTGGGCACCTGGACACACCAAGTGGCCTGGACGTTTGAGTTTTTTACAGAGAGGAGAAAGGACACCAGCAGGACAGGCAGGCGGCACGGCAGAGCTCTGGGGCAGGTTAGCGTCTCAGCCAGCTCGCCCAGACTTGGACACACACAGGAGGTCTAACGGGCTCCAGGGCTCAGAACCAGGTCTGGGGGCTGGTGTGCAGCCCCACCATGACAGCCACCCTCCGGGGTGGGGGGCAGGCTGGGCCCTGAGCTGCCCACTGACCTCAGCGCCAAAACCATACCCCGCAGCAAGGGCTGGTCGCCCAGAAGCAAGTCTCCACAAAGCTGTGGCTATGAGGGTCCCCAGATGGCTAGTCACTAGTTGACACTTTCAGAGCCCCTGGGGCTCCAGCAGAGACCGTGTGGGGTCACCTGAGGGGAGCCAGCCACTCCCACTCCCTGCCCTGGAGTTACTCAGAAGAGGGATGGCCTCGTGGCAGAGAATGGGTTTAACAAGGACACCAGAGAAACAAAGGAGCTTTCTACTGAGATGTAAATCACCTGGAACAATCCCAAATTATTTTATGTTAAAGTCATTTTGGCATTTACTGCTTGTTGATGGAGAGTTGACTGAGACAGACAGAAGGACATGGCTTATGTGGGTGGAGTGGGGTGTGAGCGGACATGGATGCGGCAGCCTGCATGTGAGCAAGGGTGGATGCGGGGTGTGGAAGCCCTTCGCAGGGGATGATTTGGCCTTTCGGTCCTAGTTCTGAGGCCAGTGAGTAAGCCCCCTCGTCAACAGGGACCACCTGGGGTCGATGCTGACCAAGTCTCAGAAGGTCACATGGTGAGGTCAATAAAAGCTTAGGAAGCCTAAGCCTCACTGAACTTCCCGTTTGGACAGTGAATGATATTCTTCTCTCTGAGAAGAGGTGAGGCCGCCCCATAGGGATATGGAAACTCTGTGTTAAAGAACCCCCCCACCTCATTTTCAGAGCATGTGCTCCGGGAGGTGCTGCAAGGGGCTCTGGGAACTCCTCCTGGCAGGAAGGAGTTGTATGTAAGTGTTGGTGTGGCCAAAGCTTACTCTCTTTTTCACTTCACCCTGGACAAGGGAACTGAGAAAGAGGATTTGGAGATGTAGGCTACCTCCAGGCTGGGAAGAGGAGGGGAGGAAGCCAGAGGCCTGAGCCCAGGCCAGGAACCCACTAAAGAGGCCGAGGCTGACGATGCATACTTGTCTGTAGCCAGAACCTTGCACCAGGAGAAGAACTTTCTGTGAGGACTCCTACTGCGAACAAGCAGTGGCTACAGGCCAAGGACAGTGCTTGGGCCAGCACGGGGTATCCTGCGGCCCTTTGCCAAGTCACGGACTGGCAGGGAGTGCAGGACAGATGCCTGGTGCCCCCGAGGGAGTCCCCTGCACTGCATGCAGCTCCCTCAGCCATCACTAGTGGGAAGGCCTGTGCTGCCCCCACACTCCCCCAGCTTCTGCTCATGGAGCTATCGGCTCAGGACTGTGGTCTGCGGCCCACTGGAGCTGAAGCCCGTGGCGTGGCTCCCCAACACAACTTCCTGCCGGCAGTCCAGACTGAGTCAACCCCAAGTACAAGGCCTTGGTCCTCTGGCCTGAGCCCCTTGTCCACAGTGGAGCCGAGAACCAGAAGTCACAGCTGGAACAGGACCCACACCCAGAGAGCATCACCATGGGCGGGGTGGGGCAGGAGAGCAGGGGTGGGGGATACAGGGGACACCAGCAGACACTGTGAGGAGGCGTTAATAAAGCACCATGCAGCCGCTGCCAGGAAGAACTTGCTACCCGGGATGGAGAGGGCTCAGTGCAGAGTCAGGACCCCACGGTCAGGGCCAGAGGCAGCAGCACATTGCAAGAACAAACCCTCTGGGCTGGACTGGATGCTGTGCAGGCCCAGGCTGTGCATCTTCTGGAGAAAGAGCTCCCCCAGAGCGAGATGCCACTTTCAGAAACCACCCTCCCTTGGGGGGGACCTCAGGTCTTGAACCTCCAGCTCCCAGTGTGTTTAAATGTTTGTTTACAGCTGGCCCAGAGGGGCTGGGGACTGAGGAGGGCATTAGGAAAGAAGGGCTGAGCCTCCAGGTGAAGTTCGCACCCAGAGGTGAATGTGGACCCGGAGGACGACAGGGAATCTGAGTGGGTCACGTGGGCAGGTGGGACGTGAGGATTCGAGTCCCCAACACCACGTTTACATATGAATCTCACAGGGACACACCCCACTGGGGACACAGTTGGGACCCTAGGGACATTTGGAGGAAGCCACATTGAAAGAGGGCCTTTTGTGAACTGAGGCTCAGGGCCAAAAGCAGGTTCTCCACAAACCTCCTCAGGCAGGCCGAGGGGGCACACTGCTGTCTGCTGCTTTTGCACCTGCCGGTGAGGCTGGAGCTGGTTTTAAAGGAGAGCTGAGAGGCTTGGGGGTCGGCTCATCCCTTGCAATGCAGAAAACAGAGCTGAACAGACGTGTTTTGCCCTCAGGTGGGGCAGTAAGACCTTTGTGCCTGCCTGTCAGAAGAGACAGGCCAGTGTTCACAGTGGAAACATGCCAGGTGAACCTGCCCGGGGGAGGGGGAGGATGGAGACCACCCCAACCTCAAGCAGGGGCTGGGGGACCCCTGGAGGCAGGTGCTGAGCAGTGAGTGGGGTCCATGATAGGTCTTATGCTCGGAGGACCCGGACTCCCGGGGGGGGGCAGAGAGAGGATCAATCCCTTTTCCTATTCTGCCCATGCAGTCCGTGCAGGCCAGGAGACCCATAATTGAAGGGACTCCTTTCCTAGAATATGGTGAAGGGGTTTCTGAGAACAGTGGACACCAGTGTGGGACTTGAGGAGCCTGGGCTATACTTATGTGGGGGACACAGCTATGTCCCAAGCCTGAGAATGATTTATTCTATGCAATGTCTCACAAGTACATAGACTTACGGCACTTCTGAAAAAAGAAAACCACAGTACGGTGCATTGAACGTGTGAAGGTACTCACACTGCCGCCTCCTGGGATGTGTTTGATATTATCCTTTGAGCCACACTTGGACTGGACGTTGCTAAGATCCAGCTTCTTATTAATTATCTGCACCTTTGACAGCCAGAAAAAAGGATGAGTGACGCACCCCCGGACCACTGCTCTGTGCTAACAGACTCTGCTCTCTGACTTCAGCGGGGGAGACGAGGCCCCCCTGCAGGGGTCGTCTGGGTTTCTGAGGAGTCATGGGACTCCAAGTCACCCCTCCCAATGGAAGCCAAAGAGATTGACTTTCAGGATGACACGGGAAGAGAGGGCTGCCCCAGGAAGGCATTCCAGAAAGGCAGGTGATGTGAGGTGGGCCCCACCTTACAGCTTTGGGGTTTACAAAACAGATTCCTCAGGAGGCAATTATTCGGTTTACAAAAGGACTGCATCACGGACACCCCACTAGAAAGCACCTCGGATGCCTGTAAACTGTAAACCAGAACTGAAAGTTCCCTAGGTTGGAATGGAGTGAAAAATGTGCTCAGTGACATGAAAAAAATAAATACAAAGTCCCACCTGCGTCTTCATCCACACACCCATCAGACCCACCCGAGCAGTCACCAAGAATTTCATGTGGCTGTTCTCAAGACCTGTTAAGCATTACAATCACCTGCGGATATTTAAAAAAAAAAAACAACCCAGACCCCACTGCTGGCCTAGAATTAATCAGAACCTTGAGTCTGGCAGAAGTGTCTAGACTGTTGACCATCTTGCAGGTGATTCTGATGCATAGCCAGGTGTGGGAATCACAGACCTCGTGGGTGGGACCCAGGTGGCTTTGTGGAGAAGACACAGACTCCCCTTCATAAGAGCTTTGTCTCATGGGAGACGGCTAAGCGCCTTCCCCTCCCCCCTGTCCAACCGCCCTCTTCCCCCGTACACCTTCTACCAGGTGCTGAGAGGAAGCTGAGCCTGTTCCCAATTGTTCTTAGCGTTTCTGCAAGCAAGTGTGGCCCAGGTGGTAATGATTTGACTGGATTTCTGGGAGGCTCTTCTTTCGCCAAGGAGCCCTGCCTGGTGGCACAACAGTTAAGCACTCAGCTGACCCAGAGGTTGGTGGTTTGAATCCACTTAGCGGCTCTTTGGGAGAAAGACCTGGAGATCTATTTCTGTAAAGATTACAGCCTAGAAAACCCTATGGGGCAATTCTACTCTGTAACATGGGGTCACTATGAGTCAAAATCGACTCAACAGCACCTAACAGCAACCTTTTTTCCAGAGGTCCTGAAGTGGTGCAAACAGTTTGTGCTTGACTACTAACCTAAAGGTCAGTGGTTCAAACCCACCCAGTGGTGCCATGGAAGAAAGGCAGGGTTTTTTTTGTTTTTTCTTTCTCCGGTCACCAGGGAGGTATGGGGATATTAATGTTTTGGTGAAGAATGAATTTTACTCCATTTGCCTAAAAGCTATGGAATAAACAGGCAACCATGGTCCAGAGATAAAGTTGAAAAAGTCTAGATTTTTGTCTGCTAGGTCTGTAATGATCCAACCCATGACCAGAAATAGTGTGCCTCAGTTTTTATTAATCACAGACAGAAATATCTGCCACCTGGAATTCCCAATTAAGAATCAGCACTGCCAGCTTGGTTTCTGAGATTTTGGAAATAGCCCTGCAATCTCAGTTGCTGCCTTTGAACTTGGTTGGGGCTGCTGTTTCAGATGCCCGAGATCCTTTAGGTCGGGCAAATTCTTCCTTTGTAGGCTCTTCTCTGGTTGGTTTTTAAGCGTAAAAACCGTTTCTCCTTTAAAGCTTGGATAGATACCTAACTCCACTTCCCCTTTCTCCCCTACCATCCTCCTGTCTTACAGATGAGGTCACCTGCAGCCTAGAGAGGCTCAGCGACTTTCTCAACTCTGCGGCAGAACCCACACGAGAACCTAGATCTAGGTGTTTCTGCCTGCCACGGCCTACCTGTGTGCCAACAGAGTTGCACCTGGGTTGTCCTCAAGGCTGTTGCCTCATGAACCCAATAAAAACAACACTCCTTTAGGCGAGCACTGACCTTCTCTCCTGCCAGTGAGGAGGGACCAGGATACCACCTCAGCCCGGTCTGGAGCTGGGAGGAGGAGGTGGACTGGGCATTCTTACACAGCACCTTAGAGCTGCTGGAGTCCCTGTCACCCTCTGCATAATGTCTTTGAATCAACTTGTGTCACCCTCAGATTTTAAGAAGTCCCACAAGAACTCTTTCTTTGGGATCATTCTTTATTCATAAATTTCCCAGAAGCAGATTTGCCTGCTTTCAGAAAGGAATTGAAGCAGTTTAGAATTTTTTTTTTTTAAGGCACAATAATAAAACAGAACGTTTAAAGCATAATGTTAAAGGAAGCAGAGGTGACCTAAACTGACAATTACAAGACTGATCATTACTTTGAGCTCTGAGCTTCCTGGAAGCCAAGGGAGAAAGGGAAAAATGATGGGTTACATAAGTCTATCTGATAAAGTAAACTTACTAGTTTTTCAAGGAAGACAATGTTGTTTTCTGTACTAATCTGAACAAGAAATTCATCAAATGAGTCTATCAAGGGGCATTAAGCAATAATACAAGGTCTGCAGCATACGTAGGTGTTTTTTTTTTCATGCGGCTTTTTCTTCAACCCCACAAAAAAAGCAACAAGCTTTTGTGGAATTTGGCAATAGACACAAGGATATTTACAAAACAGATCTGAATTACTGTTAGTGCTCATGTTAAGTAAACACCCTTTACAGAATTCCAGATTTGCAGAAAGGGGAAAGAAAGGCACTGGTTGGCATAATCAGAATCCCGAAACTTAATATATATTGCAATGTATATTGTGCCTCAGCTGTGGATACTGGAAATACCCATCAGAGGAGAGAATAATTTTGGAAGCTCCACATTTTGATCCGGGGGACCCCTAGTCAGGGGAGAAATTCCTAAGGTCAGGGTTTGACCCTAGAAGGGAGGCTGGGACTGGAGTGGGGCTGAGGGCAAGTCTACTTTGGTTTAATCCCTGACCTGGAGGGCCTTAAGAAGTCCCAGACCCTCACTAGATCATGCTCTAGTTCCATCTGGGCTCAAGTCTCTCAGGGCTGGCCCACAGGGAACCAGCCCTCCCTCCCTGCTCCGAGTCTCTGGGCCTGCCCTCTCCCCACGGGCGCTCCCAGGGTGGCCTAGCTGAGGACAGTGAGCTGTCTCTGGCTCAGCCTGTCTCCAGCACCACGTGGCGTTCTGGGCCAGTTTTCTCCTCGTCAGGGTTAACAGGCCCAGTGCTGAGGGCTGGGAGTAGCTGCTGGGTGTTCCCGTGAGACTTTAACCTGAGGTGGGCTCCGTGTACCCACACCAAGCCTCTCTTCAAGTCCAGGGCGGTCAGCCCAGGAAATGACACGGGAAAACCTACCTAGTGCCGGTTAAGCCAACTGGCCAAAGAGATCAGGTAACAGGGAAGAGTGAGTCACCTTTAGACTTATTTACATTGTTCCTTTAAACAGAGAGAAGCCCTGGTGGCACAGTGGTTAAGAGCTTGGCTGTTAACCAAAAGGTCAGCAGTTTGAATCCACCAGCTGCTCCTTGGAAACCTTCTGGGGGAGTTCTACTCTGTCCTATAGGGTTGCTATGAGTTGGAATTGACTCGACAGTAATAGGTTTTTGGTTTTAAACAGTGATCTCCCAAAGGTCCCTTAAAATGATTAGATTTTAAGATTTTGAAGAAACACAGATCCTATGCCCAGAGAGATGGCCAGAGGCTCTCAGGGTTACAGGCTGTCCCAGAGAAGGGTCCTTGCCTGGCTCTGACCTGGCACTGTTCCAGAGGAAGGGTAAACCTGCCTAGTCCCACTGGGTTCAAATCACTTAATTGACTCCACATAAATGTTCTACACATGTGCTTTTTTCCTGTTTACTAGCAATTTACTAATAAAATGTAATTCTTTTAAAAACACTTCAGTTTTCTTTTATGTCTGTAGTGAATGGGAAAGGGAGGCCATGAAGAGGGGTGGAGACAGAAATAGATCAGAAAGAGAGGTGGGTAGAGGTGAATGGGGAGAGAGAGAGACACCAAGATTGAGGGACGGGAAGGAGGGGGAGTGAAGACAAAACAGACACACACATTTAAAGAGAGAAAAAGAAGTCAACATCGATGTGGAGAATCAAGTAATAGCTCCCAGGGCTGAGACCTAAACTGGAGAGGGATGTTTACAGCGTTCCATCGCCATCTCGTGGCCATCTAGAATATTGCAGCCCAAGGCGTTCGAAGCCCACAGCTCTGGGATGTTCTCGCCCTTCCCCGGACCTTCACATCCAAACTGCTGGCCTGGCTAACGCTCCCTCCTGGGCAGCCTCAGAGGAAGAGACTGTAGTGTCTGCTCAGAGATAACCAGCAGGCCACTCCCATGCTCAGGCTCCTGTGCCCTTCTTGGCCTTGACCCCTGCGCAATCGCCTCTCACGCTTGGCGATCACCAAAACCCAAAACCAAATCTGTTGCCGTCAAATGGATTCTGACTCACAGTGACCCTATGGAACAGAGTAGAACTGCCAGTCACAGGGCTCCCCAGTTCTCCTGACCACATGGCCCCGGCCCCTCCTTCTCTCACCCCGTTGGAACCCAAGACTCTGCTTCCTCAGCTTGTGCTGGGACCCCAGCACGGCACTCTCCTCTCTTCTCAACGCTGGGCATTGGGAGAAAGTCACTAATCATACAGTGGTGGCTGAAGCTCCTGCTAGCTTCACCTCAGCTGGGCCCTCACCCCGCCTCTGATGGACACCGCACACACACCCTTCACCCTACTAACCATGGAGCCTGCCTCTCTGCGGGGGATGCCCTCCACTCCCTCTTCTTTACTTCCATCCTGGCTAGCGGACAATGCCGTCCTTGTCGAGGCCCCCTGCTGGTTCACAGCAGCCCCAACCCCTCTGCTGGCACCTTCTCCATTAGCAGTTAGCGCTCCTATTAATGACGCGCCCCTCTGGCTACCCTAGCCGACTCTGGTTCTGCCTTGATTTACTTGTGCAGCTTCCCACCCAACCTGCGCACCCAGAGCTCTCCAGGGGCTGCCCTTCCAAAGGCCACTTACGGTCCTGAGCAAGGGTCTGTCCTGTCTTCTTTAACTTGGTGGCACTGACAGTGTAGGGAACACTCCATGTGGGTGACAGTCAACAACACAGGTAACCCCTCCCCTAGCAAGTTCTCCTCTTGCCTGGTTCTCCCTGCTGCTGCTGTTGTTTGCCACGGAGTCAATTCTGACTCATAGTGACCCCGTAGGACAGAGTAGAAATGCCCCATAGGGTTTCCTAGACTGAAATCTTTCCAGGAGCAGATCGCCAGGACTTTGCTCCCGCAAAGCTGCTGCTGGGTTCAAACTTCCAACCTTTTGGTTAGCAGTTTAATTAACCAGTGCGCCACCAGGGCTCCCTCCTGCTGCTCCAACTGCTCCTTTTACACAGATTTCTCCCCTGGCCTGGGCCCTGGGGGCAGGAACTCACCAGCTATGGGCCTAGCACTCAGAGGGGCCCCATAAACAGTGGCTGAAGGAATAAAGGAAGGAACCAGCTTTTGATGCTATTTTATGTTTAGTTTTACTGGTCATGTTTCCAATTTATTTCTGCTCTTTGTTTCCTTATTCTTATTTCTTTTCTTTTATTCTCCCCTCGCCCCGAACTAAGAACATAATTTATACACTGCAGTTATTTAATTTTTTTCTTTTTTAGTAACAAAAGTATTTAAAACTATGCATTCTTTTCTAAGTACAACTTGGGGCACCTCCACATAATGTCCAGGTTCCTTACCCATGCGCTTGAACAAGTACAGTTACAGGGGAAAAGTTCTTAATTTCCAAGTAATTGTGGCTATGCTGGTGATACTTATACAATTAATTTCTGGATTATTATGTTATGGGTTACAGAACACATATTATTATGGATTCAATTGTGTCCAGCCAAAATGTGTGTTGGAATCCTAACCCCTCTACCTGTGAATACAACATGATGTAATATGATGTAATCCCCTTCCATAATGCAATCTAATGCTATGTTAATGAGGCCATATCAGTGTATGTATGGTGTGTCCTAATCACTTCTGAGTTATAAGAAGAGCAGATAAGACACAGAGACCAGTGAGCACAAATGGGGGAAGAGAGATGTCACCTGATGATCAGCAAGGAACTGAGGAATGCTGCAGGGGACAGATGTTCCCCCAGAGCTGACACAGAGAGAGCTTTCCTCTAGAGCCAGCACCCTGAATTCGAATTTCTAGTCTCCAGAGCTGTGAGAAAATACATTTCTGTTCTTTATAGCCACCCACTTGTGGTATTCTGTTACAGCCGTACTAGGAGACAAAGACACACATTAACTGTAGCAAATCATGAAAACAGAAAAGCTCAAAGAAGAAAATAGGTGTTTAAAACAGGGCTTCGAACCGGTTTGTTTCAGTTCGACCCCCTGCTGCGAATTTACCTTTCTACCCTAGATATGCTGACTCAGAATCTACATTTTAACACGATCCTCCGGTGATTCTTATGTACGTTAAGAATCACCTGGAGATCCATAAGAATCACCTGGGGATTGTGTTAAAATGTAGATTCTGAGTCAGTATATGTGGGGTGGAAATCAAATTCTCAGCGGGGGTCAAACTGAAACAAACCAGTTCAAAGCCCTGGTTTAAATTTTTTTTCCAACAAATGATGTATATCGATCCACTGTGGTTTTTGTTCTCTGCAGGTTTACAGACATGACTCATCTCCAGTTCTCCCTTATTCAATGAGATCATCTCTAGAGAGTTCAGTGAGTCTTCAGACTCCTATAGCTCTGTCCCTGTTGTGGCGGAACATTTATTGAGCACTTGCTGTATATCAGGCTCTACACGAGGCCACAGGGACACAAAGATCTCAAACTCACCAAGCCTTCAGTCCAGCCCAGAGGAAGTATACACAAGACACCTCAACAGATCATTTCAAAAGCCTTTTCCAAGGATCCCATATACCTTTTTTCCTTTTCCTTTTTCCTAGAGATTAACGTCTTCATCTTTTTTAAGGCTGAGATTTTCTTTGTTTCAGTTGTCTAGGTGTTTCATGGAATTTAAGGGGAGTCCTCCCTCTTCCCCCTAAGTAATCCCAAGAAAACTCACCCTTTCCCCTTTAACCCTTCAGGAGATATTTAAGTACCATTTCCTCCCAGTGAGGTGAGATCCCAACCTGAGGGCGCTGCCCTCCCCCTCCCACTCCTGGGCACTGAGTCACACACTCAGCCACAAGGAGGCAGGTCAGTCCAGGACAGGCAGCCCTGGGGTGGAAGGGGTGGGCTCAGCCCTGAAAGGGGCCTTCACTGGAAAGTTTTCCTCCCCACTCAATGCTGTCACTGCTACTCTCAGCAGAGATGAAAGAACTGGTCCAAATGGTGCCCACACCTTCCAAGCCAGCATCAGATGAACCCAGGGACCAACAGGGGAGCTGGTCTCCATGCCAAGCTGAGGGTTTCAGCTCTGGCTCCCTGAATCATCCACTCACAGACATCACCAAGTCCAACTAACCACACATTCAAGGAGGGCTTGCCACCAGCATAGCCTTGTGGGGCTGCAAAGACGTGGTTTCTGCAACGCAGCGGCAATCAGTGGGGTGGGTGTTTGCTGTGCAGGATCACAGGAGGGTGGGCAGGAAGAGGGAGCCCTCGGGCTGGGGTGGGGCGGCGGGTTTGGGTCCTTTGGCGTCGTGAGTCTCCAGGACAGCACTGGTCACAGCAGCGCAGTCTTCTGGCAGAGGACTGGTGTGTAGAGTTTTGTTTTTCATTTTTAAAAAGAGCAAATGGTCAAGATGTGCCTGAGAACAGGGCATTCACAGGACACTCACTGTGCTGAGGGTGGGCTGGGGTGGGAGACCACTGCACCATCGTGGAAACCCTCTCGCCGGGGGTCCCTCTGCTCCAGCAGCTTCAGAGAGGCGTGGACTTCAAACCAGCACCCCATAGCAGCTGCCCAAGAGTCCCTTCTGGAAGGGGGCGGGGTGTCTTTACAAAGGGGAGGACAGGCAATACTGAGGGCGGGGACCACCCCGAATTGCCCAAAGACCAGCAGCCAATGAGACGCTTGCACTGCAATAAGACCAAGCTCCCAGCCACAGGAAGGGGGGATTCACCCCAAGAGGCTGCTGGTCTCCTTACTGGGGAGGACCCTTCAGGGCCCCAAGGTCTGGAAAAGGGCAACATGAAGTCCGGGAGTCTCCAGAGAGAGCAAAACGCAGGGTTTCAGGAAAGGCCAGGAGACGACCTAGGCCCCACTGAGAGGCCCTCCCTGCACCTGTGACCCAGGGTCTGAGGTGGCAATAAATAAAATCAACAGCGCGGACAGCGCCTGCCCGCCTGCCCGCTGTGGGGAGAGACTGCTGTCTCTACCGAAAGGGAAACATTGATTTAGGTTGGTTTAGGGTTGCTGAAGTTCCTCCAGCCTACGAGGAGGCACCCTACCCTGAAAACGGCCCAGCCCAGAGGGCCCAACACATCTGTGGTCTCAACAAGGGAGTCATGGTCTTGGTCGGCCCCCTTGGAGGCGGGAAAATCCTTTACATGCCCCCCATTCTGCCCCCTCTTCTCTACCCTTTCCCCCTGGTGCTGGGTGAGGAGGGAGCCATCTTTCCCCTGGTGCTGGGTGAGGAGGGAGACCGAGAACAAGAAGAGAAAGGGGGTCGCAGCCAGTGCCCCCTCCACCTTGGGCCCTCAGAAGCTAGTGTTTCCCTACTTTAGGAGGCCCAAGGATTTCAGGAGTGTCCACTTGCCTCTGGAAAAATCAATCGTCCAAAATGGAACCGCCTAATTACCCCAGAATTGAAGATTAAAGAGAAACCTCACCTAAGTGAATATCCAATGAAAGCCAGAGCTACCCAACTACAGACTGTGCCCTGTTAAAACACAAGACAGGGTAGGGAACCCCTGCGGGTGCCCCACTCTGAGAACCCCCAGGCCATGGAGATACAACCCTGTAATCTCTGATACGGTCAGATTAGCGGGGCTGAAATGGGGAAGGAAAGAACCAGTACTTTCTCTCCACTGACACAGCACTCACGCCTGGGTGGTGACCCTGACAAAGAACTGAGCCATAAGCTGATTCTCCTTCCTTGAAGAGGTCCAGGCGGGGGTTGGGGTGCTACATGAGGAGTACCCCTTTCGAGCAGACCCACGCAGGTGGCGGGAGTTGAAGCACCCACCCACAACTGTCCCAGGTTGGGGGGGCCTCGGGGAAGTTGCGGTCCCTCCCCGGGGGCGCGGCACACACTCAGCTCCCTCCGCCTGCTCTTACCTTCCCGCCGCCTGGCTGGTGTTTCAGGTTTTCGGTGGAGCCGATCTTGGACTTGACGTTCTTCAGGTCCGGCATGGGCACGGGCGCCGTCTGCAGGCGGCTCTTGGCTGAGGACGGTGACTTGGGTGGGGTGCGGACCACTGCCACTTTCTTGGGCTCCCGGGTGGGCGGGGTTGGCAGGGACGGGGTGCGGGAGCGGCTGCCAGGAGTCCCCGGGGAGCCGGGGCTGCTGTAGCCACTGCGGTCCCCAGATTTTCCAGAGTCACCTGGGAAGGAAGGAAGAAAGGAAGGGGGTGAGGCCAGGATTCCGGGAGGGGGAGTTAGAAAAGGCCCCGGGGCTGCTGTCCTGTGGGCTCACGTCCGGACGCAGGGCTGGATTAAGCAGGTGAAACAACCAGCAGGAGGAGAGCCCTGGAGCCCATTTCTAGGGAAGTGTATCCTCTTCCCTGCCTTGTCGCTTAGCAACAGACACCCCATTTCTCAGGAAAGCAACAGAGTGGTCATCCAGGACTACCCAACACCCCCTCCCGGAGACTGGACCAACTCCAACCCGCCGCTCTGGGGTCAGAGAGGGCTCCAACTGGCTGTGTGGTCTCAGGCCAGTCATTTCCCCTCTCAGGGACTCTTCTAGAAAACGGAAGTAATTATATACCCGCGGTGAGGAAGGCTCCAGGCCGTGATAGTGTAAAACTCTAGTGCAGTTCTACGTGGCCTTTACCCTGAATGTTGGTGACAGAGCAAAGGACCCCGCTTCTGCCCTCACCGCCCCCACCACTGGACTGCTTACCCCCAGAGAGTATTCTAAGCTATTCAGCAAGTTCAAGGCCCCTTTCCCACCGGACCCCTTTTGGTGCCTGATCCTGAATGATACGCTTGCTCCACGCTTACCTGTCCTTAGCTCTCCACACAAGCCATGCCACTTCATGCCCTGCCTAGAATTTCCTTCCTCCATGCCAGTGCAGACAAATACCAACACACCTTTCCAAGCACAGTGCAGGTGCCATCCCGCCAGGGAGGCTGCTGGGGTCTTCTCCTCTCCTCAACAGTCCCGCCCTCCTCTGGGCACCTCCATTTCTTCACTTGCCATGCCCCCACTGCACTTCAGTAGGTGATGTTTCTGTGTCTCATGGGATCAGTGGTTCTCAAAGTGTGGCTAATGGGCCCCAGCATCAGAATCTCTGGCGCCACCAGGTGGAGTGGGACATGTAAAATGCAGATTCCTGGGCCCCATCCAAGCATGTTGTATCAGACTCTTCAGGGGTGAAGCCTGCAAAATTGGTTTTCTCCAAGATCCCAGGGGATTCTTGAGCACACGCAAGTCAGAATCCCTGGCCTAGATGCTGGGCCAGCTCTGAAAACCTGCGCAGCTAGTTTTACTGCTGGTCTCTGAGCTTCCCACAGCAGCGTCCACCCCCAAGCCCGAGGAAGAATCTGTAACCAACACGGGACGCAGCGGGCCCCTGTCTGGAGAAGGGCAGCTCTTCGTGCCAAGAATCTCTTGTCAGTGACGACAAAGCATCACAGTTTGGAATGTCTGAACTTTCACGCCTATTGGATATTCCTAGTCAAGTTCTGTGGTGACAGGACAATGAAGAATTTTCTCATTTTCCACATATAGAAACCATGATGGGCGTCTGCTTCCCGGTCTCAGTCCTTCTCTCTGCCTCTGCAGCCCTCCCGCCTTCTGCCGTCCTGCCCCAAGGGACAAGGGGTGGTCTGTGGGCTTCGTGGGGCTTCAAATCCTTTCCATGCCACTTAACTGAAGAGAGACCTTGGGCAAGTCACTTAACCTCCCTAAACCTGTCTTCTCATCTGGAAAATGCGGAAAGCGAGTGTACCCCACAGGGCTATGTTTTGAAGACTGGATATGGTAACAAGTATTGTCCAGCTCAGCGCCTGTCACTCACAGGGCGGACGTTTAATCAATGCCAGTGGGAACTTCATGCTGTTACATATTAGCATGTCCCCCACAAAGCTGTGTTGGAAGTCTTAACCCCTGGTACCTGAGAATGTGACCTTGTTTGGAAATAGTGTCTGTGAAGATGTTACAGTTAACATGAGGTCACACTGGAGTAAGGCGGGTCCTAATCCAGTCTGATTGTTGTCCTTATGAAAGAGGAGAAGAGACACGGAGGGAGGACGTGGGAAGACAGAGGCAGCAGCGGACTTATGCTGTAGCTGCAAATCGAGGAATGCCTAGGCGGCCAGAAGCTGGGAGAGAAAACAAAGCATCTTCCCCTAGAGCCTTTGGAGAGAGCATGGCCCTGCTGACACCCTGAATTCAAACTTCTGGCTTTCAGAAGGAGCTCTGGTGGCGCAGTGGTGAAGAGCTTGGCTACCAACCAAAAGGTCAGCAGTTCGAATCCATCAGCCACTCCTTGGAAACCCTATGGGGCAGTTCTACTCAATGGCAATGGGTTTCTTTTTTCTTTTTTTTCTTTGGCCTTCAGAACTGTGGGATAATAAATTCCTGTCGTTTTAAGCCACCTACTTTGTGGTACTTTATTAGGCAGCCCCAGGAAACTAATGCATACACACGCCTAAACCCGGGTTAGGAACAGTGCAAACCTCCAACACCCACCGCTATCTCCCGGCACATGCTGCCCCCACCCTCCACCCCAACAGCCCTCAGCCATGCCCTTGTCCGCAGAGTAAATGAGCAGCACACGCGGGATTAGAAAGGTCCATCAAACCACACACAAAAAGAGAAATAGGAATTCTGACTGTTCCATCTTCAGGCTCCGTGGGTGAAACCTGCATTTCAGAAGCAGGTACTCCCAGCTCTGAAAACTTAAGCCGACGAACAGCCACACACACAAACGGACCTTCCCTACTGGGAGAAGCAGGCTCAGAATTACCTCTCTCAGATTTAGCCCCTGCAGAGGGCAGTTTTCTCTGCACTTTCTTGGCATCTTAAAAAGAAAAATTCACAGAAAGCTTCATTATAATCAAGCTGACACTGGGCTTCAGTGAGGTCTTCTTCATGCGCCGGCGCCCAGCCACATGTGGCCCAGCCAACGGTGAGCGAGGCAGGGAGCAGGGACAGGGAGCTGGGGCCCATTCTGGGAAGAAACAGGGTAGGCGGGGGAGATCTGTCCTCCTGCAGGCTGCCACCCAGGAGCAGGTAAGATCACAATAGCCAAAAGGTGGAAACAACCCAAGTGCCCATCAACAGATGAATCGATAAACACAATGTGGTACATCCATACAATGGAATATTATTCAGCCATGAAGAGAAACCCAGTTCTGATATATGTTGCGACACGGATGAACCTTGAGAACGTTATGTGGAGTGAAGTAAGTGAGACACGAGAGGACAAATAATGCATGATCCCACGTACGTGAAATAGCTAGATAGGCAAATGAACAGAGACCAAAGTTTACTAGTGGTTACCAGGGGCAGGCGGTGGGGGGAGGGCGAGGCGGAGTTATTGCTCCAGGTGCACTGAGTTTTGGTGACGGGTGGTGGAAAAAAAATGGCAACAGTGGTAATGGTTGCACAACATGGTGAACGTAATTAATGTCACTGAATTGTACATGTAAAAATAGTTGAAATGGCAAACGTTTTGCTATGTATTTTACCACAATAAAATTAAAAAAATAAAAGGAAAGTGGTGTCATCCTGGTTTCAAGTGAAGAAGTATGAGCCAAGTGAAAAAAAAGCAGGAGCAAAATAGTGAATAAAATCCAACCACAATCCTGTTAACCACCCCCAGTGGCATGTATTATATACACAAGAAAAAACACTAGAGAGTAAACAAAACCGATGAGCCTTCACGAGCAGCTGTCCTTGCAGACCCCACAGCTACCACACCACTGGGCCAACCACCACGGCGAAACCATGCAGCAGATCGTGGGTTTTGAGTGGCCACCTCAGGCCAAAGAGAAGCACAGGCACCATTGAACAGGCCTGGCCTCCCCCAAAGCCCGCACCCAGACCCACAGGCCTCCTGAGCACCTTCACAGAGCTACTGCAGACCAGATGCCCCTGGGTCATGCAGAATCTAAATCCACTTGCTTGGGACAGGCTCCCAAGGCAGTTGGGGAGACAAATGCTCAGCCTGGCTGTCCCTAATCCTCACAGAGGTGACTATTCTTACTTGGAGTCCCTGGGTGATGCAAACGCTTATCATGCTTGACTGCTAACTGAAAGGTTGGAGGTTCAAGTTCACCTAGAGATGCCTCAGAAGAAAGAGCTGGTGATCTACTTGCAAAAAATCAACCATTGAAAACCTTATGGAGCACAGCTCTACTCTGACACACATGGGGTCGCCATGAATCAGAATCAACAATGGCAACTGGTTTACTGGTTGGTATTCTTACTAGCAGCACTGGAAGCAAAATAGCTAGACGGATGCCTTGACTGGTACTCAAAACGGCTGGTTTTTACTCACAGGCGCACTGGGGAACGGGCATAGCGTGTGACTGCTCAGCTAAGACCATCAGGGTTAGTACAGGATTCACAACAATCCCAGCAAGTTGAGCTGCCTAGAGGCTGCGCCCTGTGTGAGGTCATCCATAGTGACCTACCCAGGCTGCTGTGCTGTTGCCAGCGACAGCGGCCACGCATCTCACTTGGGGACTTAAAAACACCTCACGCTGGGGCTGCCTCCCAAGGGCCCTGACTTCAGTTCAGAGAAGCTCAGAGAAGCCCCTTTCCTACCACTCACTGGTCATGTGACTACATTTTCCTCATGCATAAAGTGAGCTGGTTAGATCTAGTCATGAAAACTCTCAGAGCCTCGATTTCTTTATTGATAAAAAGTGGGGGTTCAACTCTACCTCAGAAAATTACCAGAAGGATTAAAAAGAAAACAAACACTACAGTGCATAGTAAACTGCAAGGTGTTGGTCTGCTATCAGGGGTTATTACTTTTCAGGGGGCTTCAGAGGCAGAAGAGGTCCCCGGATGGCGCGAAGAGTTTGTGATCAACTACCAACTAAAGGTTGGTGGTTCAAACCCGGCCAGCAGGGCTGTGGAAGAAAGGCCAAGGGCGATTTTGGCAATCTGCTTCGGTAAAGATTATGACCAAGAAAACTCTATGGAACAGTTCTACTCTGTAACACATGGGGTCACCATGAGTCAGAATTGACTCAATGGCAAGGGGTTTTCAGAGGAGGGGGTTGTGCCTACTGAGAGTTTCCTATGAGTTGGACTCAACAGAACATTCTTCTTACCAGTGCTGGGCGGTGTCTTTGGGGCAGGGGTGGTTTTCGCGGGAATCCTGGTGGCATTGGCTGGGCCTTTCTGGCCTGGAGGGGCGGCTCCCCGGGGTGTGGCGATCTTCGTTCCAGTTTTATCTGCCCCCTGTAAACCGAATCATGGTACAGTGGTTTTTACAATGGGGAAATGTTATCGTCACCTAGTGTCAATGCCAGTCCCACACTCTTTACTTTGGCTCAAAAGGAGACGAAGATTGGGACTGACCCTTTACCTACTGGAAGGAACAAACGTCTTCTACCGTCACAAGCCTTTGCTAGGCACACAAACCCACAGCCCCAATTGTTTACATTAGTTATCAGCACGAGTCGTACTAACCTATTTTATAAAAAGGTAATAATGCTTATAAAAGTGATCTGGTTCATATCCAGTCAGTGTCGATCAATGAGCAGGACATTTGTGGGCCATGCCTATGTGGACATCCGTTTTTCTGACTCTAATTATAGATTTATTTGACTGATCAGTGGTTGGTTTCCCCAGAGGTGCCTGGTCTATGGTGGCTGTTAAACTTGACCAAGAGTGCTAAACAGAGCTAGGCCATATTCTTTTGTTCTCCTCTAAGCAACCCTGAGGTTTCAGTGACCCTTTAGGTGTGCTAAGAGTCCTTAGCAGGTGAACAACAGCCATCAGTTCACAAACTGACCAAAGGCTGAGAGAGAGTGTTGGCACAAGCACCCAGTACTGGTCATGGCCCGTTGTTGGGTTTGGTCCCCGGGTAGACGACCTTTAGACGTGACACAAACTCAAAAAGAAATTGTCAGTAATCAAGGACCACGAGATGATTCAGGAGGGCGTGAACCAGCGGGCAGGTGTTGCGGCACAGTGAGGCTGTCCCACCCATATGAAGGCAATCTGGAAGCGTTTCCAGTTACAAAGTCAGGAATGGACAAAGGAAGCCAATTAGAGTGGATTCCCATCTTCAAACCAGGTTCCCATAGTGTACCTTAGGGGCTGCTGCTGTGAGGGGCTGAGGGGAGCTGAGAAGCATGGCTCTGAGGCCCCTTTTTCCCTCTTCAACCAGAAATTTAACTGTTCTACGTGGTGCTTCTATGAAAGAGCTTATCTGAAGAAAGGTCTTTGTGGCTAAAATAACAGACATTTGAAAACCACATGAGAGCAGCCTGATTCTTTTCAAAGGTGGTGTCCTTACCTTGAGTTTCATCTCCTTTGCTCCAGAACTGCCAGTTCGGGGTGTGACAGATGAGACGTGTTTAGGAGAGGAAGATGGCTCTGGGCACACGGCAGGGCTGGAGGGTTTGATCAAAGGGTCTGAGCTACCAGGAGTGGGGCGTTTAGGGCTAAGGCAAGGCCTATTTTTCAGGGTTCTAGCAGAGGAAGGTGTGGATGTCTTAAACATAAACATAAATAAAATCAAAATAAAAGTCAGCACATGAGGGAGGGAAACAAACTGAAAAAGGATAGTGACTAAAAATAAATAAGGCAGGTAATGGTTTAAAGCGGTGATCTCCAAGCTGTTTGGATCATGTATCCCTTTCAGTAAGAACAAGAAAGTGACCCTGCACCTCACTGTACATGTAGGTATTTATCAGTTAAATGCATATGCTACGATGCCAATATATGATGTACACCATAAAACTTAACACACGATAGAAATTTTAAGAGGAGAAGATGAATAATGAATAAAAGTTCTAGTATGTTCTTTCTCTAGCTCATTGGACTGTCTTGTGTCCCCTACTTTGGAGACCACTGGTTTAAAGGTGGTTCACGCCCAATAAGTCAATGGAGATCGTGAAGACACATGATACTTAGGATGTTTCTCGAGTAAACATCCCCAATGTATCATGGGTCAGAAGCGCCCCAATTTCTGCTCAGTTCCAGGTGAGGAGCTTATGCTTGCTCGCTAACCTTTGGCCCTCTTCTACCACAGTGATAGAATCATAATTGCTAGACTCAGGATTGTGCCTGTTCTAAACCTTAAAGATTCTATCTGACACCACTTAGGTTTTATACACACACACACACACACACACACACACACACACACACACACACGTGCATGCCTTCTTTCTGATTAAAGTCTCAAATAAGACTAATCTTAATACTATCTGTTGAGTCCTAATCTGGCCAATGTTAACTCTTCAACACATTCCATAAAAGGCAATAGCCTGGGTGGGGCAGGTGGCCATGGGGATGGACGCCCTCAGAGAGGGAGCTGCCCGCTTGTGAGGAGGACACTTGATGGATGGCGGCTGACGCCTGTGGTTTGGGAGACTTTGATAGATAACTGTGGCCCTCATGGAGGAGAGTGGGCTGGAAGGGCAGGGCCACACCTTCAGGAATAAAAGCAGAGAAGCTAAGTCTAGAGGTGTTCCAGGGAGGGAGTCAATTACAGAGCAGACTGGAAACTTCACTGGGCTGCTCACACTTGTTTCCCCATTGCCCCTTGGATTCCTGGCTGAAGTGGCAGAGGCCCTTTCTGCGGCCAGCCATGGTGAGGAGAACCCAAGGGATGGGCAGTGGTGAGAGGGGAGAGACACAGGCTAAGGCCCTGCGGTTGGTGACAAGGAAGAAGAGCTGAGAGGAGGGGCAGCTACAGTTTGTGATAAATCTGACCCCTCACTAGACTGTGAGCAACTCAGTAAGGCCCCTGGCCTGTGTGTACTGAATGAATGAATGAATGAGGCAGGTATTCCCTCCCAACCAGCACTAACTGTGCATCATGACTGACAAGAAGTTACTGTTGCTACCACTCCAAGCATCCAGGGTAGAGCTCTCTAAGTCCCTGTGGGGCCCTCAGCTGCCTCACCAGGGTCTTTCGGGTAGCTGATTCTGACTTCATACAGAGTAGACCACTTCGGGGAGTGGCCCTCAACATACAATGCCCAACCCACACAGCTACACTCTGCCTCGGAGACTCAATCAGGGCTCCAGTATTGGTTGAAGTCCAGATGTTTCAGGCAGAATTTATATTGAAAAATTTCAGATATCTTTAAGAAAAATGAGTCTTCATCTAGGGCCATGATGTGATTTTCCTGGAAAAACACTACAGAGGCATTTTCCAGGATTCAAAGTCATCTGGGAGTAAACCACCTCAGAAATGAATGCTGAGGATAGGCCTGGTTCTAGATGTGGTTTTGGAGCGAGCAGGCTGCCTCAGCCACTGTTCCTTCGTTGGGCTCCGAAGACTGACTAGGATATACGCCAATCACCTCTTTGGCATGATTTCAAGATAGTGTGAACTGCCACATTTCTCAACATAGTATTTAAGCTGTGTATCAAGTTTTCCCTCCTCCAATATCCTTCCAATCTTGTGTCAGCCCCCAAATGGAGCTCCACTTCAACCAAGCCAATCTGCTTATAGTTCTACAATGTGGGTTGGCCGTTCATGCTTCCAGGTCTTTGCTTGTGCTGTTCCTCCTCCATGGAGTACCTTTTCCTAAGCCTGCATCACCAATTCTCATTTATATTCCCTTCATGGCCTACCTCATAGCTCGTTTTTGCTAAGGGCTCTTCCAGAACATTCCACCTTAGGTTGAAGATAACTTCCTTGCTCTACACTTCCTCAGCCCCCTAATTAAACAGTATTTTCTATATATCATGTGTATATATATTTACTGAACCTAGGTCTATAGCAGGAAGCATAAGATGTGCAAAATTCAAACTTTATTACAGAAAATTCAAACATACCTGTACTTATTATGAAAGTCTCATTTAAACTATGATAATAAAAGGGCAATTAGGAGCATTAATTCATTAACTTGCTAGGTTTCCTTACCTGGAATAAGGATTAGAATGGATAAATACTGCATTTTTCAAAAGCTTGCACAAAAATACAAAACATTTTAAAATGATGGTTGTACTTTAGTGCCAAATGCTCCACATATATTACGTATGAGAATGAACTCAGACGTCGAAGCATCAAATGGCTTCTAGATGAACTCAACCAGCACCAGAGAGTTTCAAGGCTTTGTCAGCTTACCTTCGCTCTTTTGTCATCGCTTCCAGTCCCATCCTTGCTTTTACTGACCATGCGAGCTGATAAAACATAAAATGAGAATGTGTGTTACATCCCATATTCGCAGTTCCCAGACAGAGCCAGAGGCCAGATACGGTTGAGGTGAATTTCTCCAAGATCCCAAGATTGGTGCACCGTGTTTTGTTTAGTTTGCCCTTGGGCTTGGCAGAAACGTGATTAGTTTTCTTCACCCTTGAATCTGTTAGGTCTCACGTTGTTAGTATCAACACAGCAAGCTGGGGTCATTGCTCAGAGCAACCTGGTGAGAGGGGACAGCAGCCTGGCCAAGGGTGGGGACATGCAGAAGGGATGCAGAGGAAACTGTTTCAGGCCCAGGTTGGCACAGGGGCTGTCTAGGGAAGGTGAGGCCAGCCTCACGCTGCAGTCCTCACTACCACCAGCTCCTCCCTGCTTCCGCCAGGGTCACCCTACACAGCCGGGGACCACTCCACTCCAAGGAGGGGCACTAATGAAGTCCCAGGGCAGGGATGGCACTGCTCAGCCAGGCTCTAGCCATCCTGCAGGCTCCCCTCTGTTTACACTGTCGCCCAATGATCGGGGGTGGGGGAGTGAGTTATTCCTCCCCACCCTGTGACTGAGTTTCCGGAGAGGGTCCTGTTCATCTGAAGGCCTTTTGGGGACTGACCGGTGCCCACCTCTGAGTCCCCTGCCCTGTGCTGCCAGCTTGCCAGAGGTGCTGATGCTCCCCTTCCTGGCTCCTCTCATGCTGATCACCTGCCACCAGAACAGGTGAGCCTGGCTGAGACAACTTCATGCCCTGTTGCTGGTCACACCCCCAGAGCCTGCCCCTCACAAATGAGGGCTTCAGTTGCCGGCCTCTGCTGCTCTCAGATGTGCCCCTCCCAGCCCTGGTCCAGCCCTGGTCCAGCCCTGGTTGAGGTAGGTCTTCTCACCTACAGGTCTTGGAAGGGGACTGTTGTTGTCAGGTGTCGTTGAGGTGATTCCAACTCATAGCGACCCCATGTGACAGAGTAAAACTACCTCATAGGGTTTTCTTGGCTGCAACCTTCACAGAAACAAATCGCCAGGTCTTTCTTCTCCCACGGGGCTGCTGGGTGGGTTCAAACTGCCAACCTTTTGGTTAGTAGTCAAGCGCTTAACCGTGGCACCACCAGGGCTCCTTGGAAGGGGACTAATGGTTACTATTTCCCAATATCTCTGTATCTTATTCCCCCAAATCAGCTATAAACTAGTTACCATCAAACATCCTACAGACAACACCTGGATTTTAGAAGTAAACTATGACAGCTTCTGGCTCTAGAAGCCACACACCTTGGTGAAAGCCATCCACTTAGCTCGTCTACTAGCATCACCGCTTTCTTCTGTAACACTGATGGATGAGAATTGATGATCAATTTTCTTCCTGGGTCTCAATATCATATTCCCCCTACCCAAGGACACTGGGGCCCCTTGGTGCTTCTCACTGACTACCTGTGGTCTGGATTTCTAGAATGACCAGCATTGCTTATCTAGCCCAGAAGTGTTCAAACTTTGCAGCAGCAGAAGCATCTGAAGAGGTTGCTAAAATACAGATTCCTGAGTCCACCTGAGACTCTGATTCTGGAAGCCTAAGGTGGGGCCCAGGAATCTGCATTTTAACAAGAGCCCCAGGTAGATCTGACTCACATGTTCCTTTCTTTGCCCAAATCAACCAGCATCATCCATGTCACAAGAGAAGCATCCAACGGATCAGCATTTTCCAAATTAGGGTACCTCTGAACAAGCCCTCTTCCAGATGTTAGCAGGTGGGATCTAGTAAATTTGGGGAACTTATCCTATCTGTCCTTCTTGGAGGGTCACAACGTGCATTGGTACATTAAAGGCTCTGACAAGTCCTGCAGCAGCAAAACCTGCTTAAGTTCGTCTAGCTTGTTTTGCCTAAACGTTTTGGGCCAAGGACCTCTTTTTCCCCGTGACATACCTATTCCCATCCAGCAGGCCAGTTTTCAACAGAACATCATTTCAGGAAACACTGTAGTAAACTGTTAAGTCATAGCTATTTGTTTCCCAGTATTTTGGAATGTAGGCTATTTTAAAATAGAGTATAGGATTTTTTTTCTGTCTTAAAGTTTAAATATAGGCTTCAAAGTTTTTCTTGACAAGCAGAATCTAATCAACATTTAACAGATGGTTCCAACTGAGAGGTCAATAGCATCAATTTCTGGGCCCCGTAAATAATCTACAATGCTAAAGGTCCTAAATGCATGGACGCACTTGACTTGTGGCCCTGAGGCCTCTCCTAGAAACTGCCCAGGACACAGAGATGCTGACACTTGGGAACCTCCTCTCCCACCTCTCCAGACCTTGGAGGGTGGCTGGGGTCATGCTCTCGGGGCTCGAGAAGGGGCCTGGGCTGAGACCTCTGCAATGCCAGCGGGGGATTCCCTGGGCCTCTGCCATAGGAAGGAGGGAGGTGCTTTGGACAAGAAAATTCTGTTTCTAAGGGCCACATAAACCAGAGACTTCATCAGCCTGAGACCAGAAGAACTAGATGGTGCCTGGCTACCACCAATGACTGTCCTGACAGGGAACACAACAGAGAGTCCCTGACGGAGCAGGAGAAAGGCGGGGTGCAGAACTCAAATTCTAGTAAAAAGACCAGACTTAATGGTCTGACTGAGACTGGAGGAACCTCAGAAAGCACGGCCCCCACATTCTCTATCAGCCCAGAACTAAAACAATTTCCGAGGCCAATGCTTCAGACGAAGATTGGACTGGACTGTGAGACATAAAACGATACTAGTGAAGAGGGTGCTTCTTAGCTCAAGTAGATACATGAGGCTAAATGGGCAGCTTCTGTCCGGAGGTGGGATGGGAAGGCAGAAAGGGTCAGGAGCTGGTTGAATGGACACAGAAAATCAGGGGTGGAAAGGAGGACTGTGTTGTCACAGTATGGGGAAAGCAATTAGAGTCACATAACAATGTATGTATAAATTTTTATGTAAGAGACTAACTTGAAATGTAAACTTTCACTTAAACTACAACAATAAACAAAAAAAGAAAATTCTGTTTCTGTTTATCATTTCTGCCGCCACAAGGCAGGGTGAGGTAGGGTTGGAAGGCCGGGGTCATTGAGCCAAAGCTCAGCTTGGGCTCTTGGACACGTTCAAACGCTTGTGTGTGTGTGTCACCTGCAGCAGGTGGATACAATGTCCACCGACACCACAGAAGACATCACAGGAGATAGGCATGTGCCCTCTGTGCCTCTATGCTACAAGGGCACACTTCAGCATCTTCTGGAAGGCACCATGGCATACAGCAAAGAGTGTGCCTTTCAGAACAGACCTACCTGGATTCCAAACCTGGCACCATCACTTACTATTTGGTGACCGTCGGCAAGCCTTCTTTCTAAGCCTTAGCTGTCTCGTCTGCAAAGTGGGGCTAATTATGCCCACTTAGTAGGGCTGTGAGGGTTCTAGACAATGAATAAGACCTCAAAAATGGGAAGTTCTTATCCTCTCTGTGCAGTGCAGTCCACCAACCTCTGGTGGGCTGACGGACCGACTACTGTGGATAAGTCAACTGGCCCGAGAAATGAACAGGGCAGAAAGCACTGGGTGGGGGTGTTGGCGGCATGCAAACGGCAAGCATGAGAGGAGAGCGTGCTGCCAGAAAGAAGCCCTAGGGGCGAGGAGGCTGCGGAAGACAAGCAGCGCTGCCTGGTGGTCAGTGGGTGTAGCGCTGTCCTGGGAACCTCAGAAGCAGTGGGAGCCAAGGAAGGGCTGGAAGCTCAGTGGTGGTGCCCATGGCCTGGGTGGCACACGAGGTCCCCAGGGAAGTGTGAGGGAGTTCAAGACACAGACCTTTGAGTTGAGGTACCCGGCTGACGGGCCTCCCTGGCAGACCAGCTGCAGGCTGCTTTTCAGAAGGTTCTGGAAGGTCGGCCTCTTGGGTGTCCTCCCCCACAGAGGGGCCCCGGGCCTCCTGCTCCTCTCCAGGGCTCCCCGGAAGTGCAGCCCCTTCCAAATCCAACTCTGAACATTCCCGTTCCTTCTGCAGGTTGGCTTTGATTTCCTCTTGGAACATGAACTCGGCCGGAGCATCATGTCTCTCTGCTGCCTCCCCCGCTGGCCCTGCGCTGGGCACATGGAGCTCTGAGACCTGGGTCTTTGTGGAAACTTTGGGGAGGAAACCGACAGGGAGGGGGATGGCACCCTCAGCTGGTGGACTGGGGATGCCAGTGGCTTCTCTGGAAACTGTCTCGGGGGGTGGCCCGGCTAGCGTTGGGGACTTCTGTGGATGTGGGAAGATCTGGGAGGGAGGGGAGTCCTGGGGCGAGGACTCGTCTATGTCACGGTCTTCATCAACCTCCTTCTTGCTCCCCAGCCTCTCTTTGCCCTGGCCACCCTTCAGAGGGGGCCCTGCCAGGGGCAGGTCTTCCAAAAGCTGGCGCTTCAGCAGCTCAGAGCCACGGTGGCTTCCCTCTGTGTCCTCAAGCTCTGTCCCCAGCTGGTGGGCCTCTCTGGGGCCTTCAGGCAGGCTGGAAGCCCCAGCCATGTCGGAAGTGAGCTGCTGGGTCAGACCCAGGGTACCTGGGTCAGTGGCCTCGCCTCCACAGTGCCCTGGCTCACTGAGGATGCCTTCTTGGACAACCTTGACACTCCCAGGCTCCGTGGGGAGATCTCCAGGGGAGGTGGGCTTCCACTCAGCCACACCCTCCTTGGTTTGCTCCCCATGTTTTTGTCCCCACTCCTGGTGGGGCTCCTGAGGGCCTCCTGTTGGAGGAGTCGCTGGGCAGACGGGATGATGCTGAGACAGAAGAGAGGCCACCGGCGCGGGGGCTCCTGGCTCTTTTTCCCTGCAAGGCAGCACTGAGACCCCAGAAGCTTCTCTGCTGTGTCCAGACCGGACCTGAGCGCTAAGCTCGTCGGCCAAGGGTCTCAGCCCATCAGGTGACTCCTTCTGCTGGGCTGGAACTCTCAGTTGCTCTGGGTTTGAAGAGGCAGTGGTGGCAAAAGGTTAGCAAACGCACATTAATTGTTTAAGAGAGGGAACATCACTCTTGAAATGAGAAAAGGAAATGTGAACAGCATCACTTGCCCACCTAATGAAGAAAAAGGGGCACGCACGCTGGGCTTGTCCTGGCTGCTTTTATTCACTCGGGATTAAAGCTCTCTTGGTCTACCTGCCACCAACTTACTGGGTGACCCTGAGTGAGCACCCGCCCTATCTGGGCCTCGGTTTTCTCATCTGTAAAAGAGGGGCTTGGACCTGGTACTCTCCAAGGCTCCTTCTGGGGCTGGCATCATTCCTCTGCCTATTGGTGGGCTCTGGTTGGCATGGAACATGCCGGCATGCGCCAGGGCTGGCCTGTGCTTAATCCACTAGGGCTACAGAAACTTCTACCCCTCTCCAGGGGCTTGGGAGCAGGAATTTGAGCCCCCTGAAGATTCTGGCTCCTGGACAGGGCCTGGCTTGGATGCACCAAAGGTCCCCTTTCCTCACTGCTTCCTTTTTGGCAAATGAAACCCGAGGATGCCCATAAACAAACCCTGCCCTAATTCCTGCTCCAACAGCCTTGGAAAATCCAAATTTATGATAATCAGGAATTGAGTCTTTACTTCACTAATAGACCTACCATACATTCCTAAGAACAGAAACATGATTTGGATTTATCCAGGTCATCAATGATGGACAAGTCTTTTGTATCAGATGGGGTAGACCACGTGGCTGTGAAGGGTTCTGAATGATAATGACATTGCCAGCCCTTCTGGATTGTGGCTTTAGTCTAGATTAATCCACATAATTGGCTGCACATTAACCCAAGTTGATCAAGAGCACACATTTTTTTCTGGTTCATTCATGTGAATCACTCTTTAACTACCTGGCTGTCTATTAAGGGTAGGAGAATTACGCTGTTTATTTTTCCTAATAAGTGCCCTTTATTATTATTAGTTTTAAGTTCCAACCCTTTTACAGCCCACTGAGTCCCAACAGAATAATCCACACAACTCCTCAGCTCTCCTCTAAACAAAACTGTTGCCGCAAGGATTGAGGGGTTTGGAAAAGGAAGTGGTTTGGATGACGTGAGGGGAGGGAGGTAGGAAATGTGTGTATGCCTGCACACATGCATGTACGTGGGCGTGCACACACATGGGTAACACGTGGACCAGTCTCTCTCTCCCCAGCCTGTGTGATGCGCGTTGGCTCATGACCTAGAAGCCAGGCCCAGCTCTGCTTCCTCCCTTCCTACACCAGCTGTGAGCTCACACTCTTAGTCATTCTGTGTTCCCAGCATCCATCACAGTTTGTGCCACAGAGTATGTGATCAATAAACGTATCCTGCATGGATCAACTAGTGCCAGGAAAACATACTAATTTCTGCTTTTTGCAGGGTCTACAGGCCCCTGGTCAAACTCCAGGAAGAACAGCCTGAACAACAGAGATCTTGGACCAGGCGTGGTCAGGAGACAACCCTGAGCAGGTGACTTTGTGCCATGACTTCTTATCAACCAGCCAGCTCAACAGACTGGAGGCCCCAGAGCTGCTAGTTATTGGGCCATGGAGACAACCAGGTTTGCACTGGCTTCCAGAAAAACCTCTCCTCCGAGAGCTTTCTGGAAATTGCTCCTGACTGGGATATTGTTGTACTTTGATATACTATGAGACTTTAAAAGAGCCCCATTAAAAAAGAGACAAGGGCCCCAAACATAAATGGTAAATCTACCTGAAAAAGTCACCAATACGTGATTGTACAGTGTGTGTGTGTTGATCTATGAGGAGCCTAAAATGAAGGCAATTATACTCCTGGGAGAAGGAGCCAGGCTGGGAGAATATTCTATTCAGTTTCCAGGATAAAATGACCAAACCAAACCCATTGCTGCGAAGTCAGTTCTGACTCATAGCGACCCTACAGGACAGAGGTGGAACCACAGGGTTTCTAAGGCTGTAATCTTTATGGAAGCAGACTGCCACATCTTTCTCCTGCGGAAAGGCTGGTAGGTTCAAACCAGCAACCTTTCACTTAGCAGTGAAGCACTTAACCACTGTACCACCAGGGCTCCTCAGATAAGATGAGGCGCTTGGCAGACATTAATATTACAGACAGCAATCACCTGGGGAGGGGCAGCCCAGAGGTAACCATGTATCTGGACAAACACAGCGTGATGGCCTCAGGGGTCTGGATAAATTGTACCCCCTGCCCCTCAGAGAACTTGGTCTCTGTGAAACTTATAGAGGAAAGGTTTGCCCCTCGGGGTAAGCAAGGGATGGGCAACGCCTTCCCTATATCTTCAAAAAAAAAGGGCTGCTGTTGAGTTGATTCTGACTCATGGCAGCCCCATGTATGTCAGAGTAGAACTGTGCTCCACAGGGTTTTCAATGGCTAATTTTTTGGAATTAGACCACCAGGGCTTTTCTCCAAGGCACCTCTGGGTGGACTCAAAACTCCAATTTTTTGGTTAGCCAAATGTGTTACCATTTGCATCACCCAGGGACTCCTATATTTTATTCTCAGAATATTGTAGCTCTACCCTAAAGTACATTTTTCTATCTCAGGTACTGAGTAGAGTCTGCCGAAGGTTTTTCTTCTGCAGAAGGAAAAAGCAACGAAGAGATCTAAAAACTGTACTTTTGTTTACATGTCTCTTCCTAGATCTGACAGAATGCGGACAGTTGGCAAGTAAAGTATGTTTTGTGGATGACCAGTGTGCTGGGATTTCCCCAGGCTTCACCTGAGGAATGAGGCTTGGCAATTCGGATGAGCAGTTCTGATCAAGACATTAACATTGGCCATGGGAGCAGAAGTAGAAAGCGCTGTGCGTTTGTTTATTTGGTGCCAATTTTCCGATTGCAGTTGGTACCTGGGGTTCATCTTTATACCTATATGATTCCAGAACACTGTCTGAAAATTTAGAAATTCAGTGAGCACGAAAGTAAAATTTCCAGAAAAGAAGCTGGCCTGATTTTTTTGTTGAGTGAATTATGTTTTAGGAACGTGTAGACACAGCCTGTAATACAAACCTGCAGCAAAAACTCAAATTCACTTCTTTTGATGGAAAACAAATGACCAATTCCTGAGGTTATGCTTTATTAAAAAACAAAACAAAAACACCAAACCCATTGCTGTCAAGTTGATTCGGACTCATGGTGACCATACAGGACAGACCAGAACTGCCCCATAAAGTTTCCAAGACAGTAACTCTTTACAGAAGCAGATTCCCCCACCTTTCTCCTGTTGATGGCTGGTGGGTTTGAACTGCCAGCCTTTTGGTTAGCAGCTGAGCAATTAACCACTGCACCACCAGGGCTCCCTGTACTGTATTAAAGGCCTCTAATTTTACCTAGGCCAAAAAACATGACCTAGAAGAAGCAGGTGTCAGTATTCCAGTTACTTAACACAGACTGGACTCCCTCCATTTTACATTCCTATACCTTCTAATATTTTTTGAAGCTCTTTGTTGGCCTAAGAACAAAACCATGCCTTCCATGCCATGTGAGATGAGTAACATTAGCCCACTGTGGGGTAGCAGCCTCTCTGGGAACAGGAACATGTAGTCAGGACTCAAAATATCCTCAGCGAGACACTTCTTCAGGCTCAGTTGTTGCTGGGTGCTATCGAGACGATTCTGACTCACAGCAATCCCATGTGATGGAGTAGAACTGCCCCATAGGGTTTTCTTAGGAGAAAGATCGCCATGTCTTTCTCCCACAGAGCAGCTGGGTGGGTCTGAACCATCAACCTTTCAATTCGCAGCCGAGCGCTTAACCATTGTGCCACCAGGGCTCTCTTCCCAAAACCAGACCCCACCAGTGGAGGCGTTAAACACTGGACAAGTATCATGTTCTGGAGAAAAGAACAGCATCTTCCTGGCTCTTTCATAATCTAGAAGCTTCCACATTACACACTCGACTCTCAAGTTCATTTTTGCAGCAAATGATAGAAAACAAACCAAGCCCATATTGTATCTACATCAGAGGCCCCCACCGCCTAACAGAAGGAATCGCTGGACTTTCAAAATTAGATTCTTGAAATATTTACGATAAATGATTATAGAAAGCTGCTTTTCTTGAACACAGCAATTTTGATCCTTGAGAAGAAAATCTTATGAAGTTTGAAGTTTGCACAGAAGAAAGTTGGAAAGAAATAGCTGAGTGATGGTATGGTTCAGGCCTTGCTCCTGGGATAGGACAGAGGGCAGCCTGCAGGGAAAACCCCCATTGTAGAGATTTGCTTTCCTATTGGACATTCATTTGCAACTCTGAGATTCCTTTCAGGACACTAAACACCTCAGGAAAGACTTAGAAATAGTGTTAGAAAAAAGTGCTAGAGCTCTTTCTGTATCTAAATCACCACTTTTGATAAGAACCAATCTCCCAAAATCTCCTGGGCTTGACCCTGTGAATTAGCCCACTGTGGGGTAGCAGCCTCTCTGGGAACAGGAACGTGTAGTCAGGACTCAAAATACCCTCAAATTCAAAATACTCCAAATTCCCTTTTCAGGGTACAGCCCAACCGAGTGTTCCATCTCCCTCCTCCCCGGTCTGCAAATCGTGGTAGGCAATTCTAGTCCACTGACCTTGAGTCACGTGTCCAGCAGCTTGGTCCTCCAAACTGGGGGTCTCTCCAGTGCCTGCTTCTTCAGCTGATTTATGCATCAGCAAACGAAGAAGACAAAAGCAAAGATAGTTATTGTTTGCTAGAAACAAAGCTGTCTGTATCTTCTGGTATTTTCCCTAAAATGTTCACAAACGGTACATCTTGAAAGTACCCAGGTCCTGCACCTTTCTCTGGCTTCTCTGAAAATGCTATTGTTGGGGATGTTGATGAACAAAGTTCACTAAACAAAACACACAAAAGCCACACACTTGACACGTGACTATGACCTAATAGGAAAGATCTCAACAGTGGGTCCAGGGCCCTGAACACCAAGGTCAACAATTATGCACAGGGTGGGTGAGGTCAAAGAAGAAGTTTGCAGCTGAGCCACTGCCATGTGGAGCCATGTCCAAGCCATGGCTGCACCTCTAGTCCAGCCAGCGTGCCTAGAAGAGTAGGGAAGGATGATGTATGAGCTTTGGAGCCAGGCAGACCAAGTTCAAACCAAGGCTTCGGCATTTACTTAACCTCTCTGAGCCTCTGTTTCCTCATTGAGAACCCCAAGGTGATGATATCTCTTCATCCTTCATCTTGTAGGAC